AAGTACTGAGTACTTAATACACAAACGCAAAAAGCACCTTCTGGTCTGAAAGAAATCCCATTATGAATGGCAACAGCATGGGTGCATAGCTGTTGAGGTGCAGTGGAAGTGTGTTTTGGCCCATTAGGTGGCTGTGTTGCATTTTGAAGCAGTTTCTAGGTTGGAGAATTGTTACCAAATAATCCCACGTGGACTGATTCCACTGCAGCTGCACCAGAGTTAGCAACAATGGGAACCTTAGTATAGACAGCTTTCAGTTCCAGCAGCCGTTTTCAGCACTGTATCAGTTAACCCTGCTCTGAGGAGGGTTAATTGACACAGTACTGCAAATGGCTGACTAGATGAAAACTTATATATTATGCCTCCCAACATCTCTCACAATTGTGCAGCTGCATTCATATTGGCAATGGTGGGAATTTGGAGGAGGGAAGAAATTCCCCAGTGCAGACAAAGCCTGAGAGCCTTAATATTCTTTTCCGGGTCTTTTTTGTCAGTCACAGTCATGCTTCCCTAAAACATTCTCAGAGCCATCTCCAGGTTGCTGATTATGAAGCAACAGCCACTGCTGGTCCCACCAGCTGGATGAAAAGAGTGGAAGAATGGTGATACAGCCTGGCCCATCTCATAGGTGCACTCAAGGTTCATGTGCCTGCTCTTCTCCTCTCTCTTCCATCCCGAGAGGCAGCACATTCTACAAGAACCAGGGAAAATCACAAATTAACTTTTCCCACAGATGTAGACAGTGTTTGCAAGATGTACTTCTCCTGCACTGCCTGGTTCTCTAGCAGCAGAGTATCAGCATTCCCAGGTCCCTGAGTACCCACTGTAGCCTTTAACTACATAAGTGTCTTTGCCCTCTCTGGTTGGCCACAGAAGTGGAATACCTACACTAAATACAACCCTTCAGACATGGCAGCCTGTAGCCCTGGCAGGCCAAGGCTGTTCCTCTAAGGAGTTTTCTGAGGCAGTGCAGAGCTGTAAGCTTCTTAAAATACGGAGGAAACAGTCAAAAAAATTCTTCTGAATTTAACCGTCTGCTCTCCCATTCCTGGCAAGAGATCTCTTTCAAAGTTAAAAAATTGCTGCTTCCCCTGAGCTAAGGCCTTAAACTTACTAACACTGCCCCTTTTGAGTAGTTTGCACTCTAAGAGAACTAAGGTGGAGAAAACAGAACCTGCTAGAGTAGAACACAGGGGTGTCCTGACTCTGCCCTCCTATGTATGTACACAGTGAGCAGGCATTATGAAGTTGGGGACACACTTCCTATCACACATTGGCATCACAGACCTTCAGTAGCAACTTGTGAAAAATAAAGAAGTTCTCTCCTTGTGTAAAAGCACTACCAGACTGGTGGAGTTAGTTGTACTCATGCATGGACTATGTTAGGTTGCTATCTATAGGTGACATCTCCCTGTGACCATACAGCATGGTTTCTTCTGCATCCCTCAGCTTTTGAGAAAGGAAACAGATGAAGAAGTGAGCAAGGGAAGCTATTTATTGCTGTTATTTATAATCTCCAAGGCCTATTTAAACTGTAATTTTCTGTCTTTCTAAAAGATACTTTCTTGCAACCTTGGTTCTGATGCAAAATTTTACTGCAGCTATTAGAATGCACAATTTAAAAAATCTCCTCTGGGAAGAGAGGCCAGTGAAACCTCTACAAGCCATCACGTTGATTACAGAATAACAAATGGCCTCTTTATAAGTGTTCTGGGTTAGGTAGCAAAATCTGCACATTATTTTTCATTGTCTTCTTCTTAATTTTCTAGGACATTCCTCTGATTTCTTTGGAAATACCCTGAGTTTAAGACTGATGGAGACTAGAAATCAGGCCAGATTTTATGTCTATAAATTTCCTATACTATTATGAATGGTTCCAGAAAACAAAAAAATAAAACCACTGATAATTAATACTTCTGTTAATAGACCAAAGCTTAAATCCCAGACCAAAGTTGGTGGAAAGTAGGTCATGTCTATTCCACTGACTTTGCAGTAGTCCCTTTGATTAATTATAAAGTTGTAGTCATTGGTGTTTGCGCTGAATATTGTGCAAATACAGCTATACTGTCAGAGAATGGATTGGAACAGTGCAAAGAACTGCTACCACATCTGTTTTGGGAAGGAATCTGGAAAAAAATGAAGAGCTGTTTCTGGCTCCTCAGCTTCCATCATTCACTTGAGGAAGTCAGGATTTCTGGGTTCTGGATGTCGTATTGCTTACCTGGGTTAAGGCACTCTGTATGTAAATGACACAAGAACAAGTTTTTTGGTGAGTCTAGTCAGCTCTGTATCCACAGAGTTGCCATAAGGCAATGTATCAAGGAACTGTCAAATCAAATCAGTATCAAGGAACTGATTTATTGTCTAAGCACTTTTGGTTAAGGAGGGAACCAGGATAGTTTCAAATAAATGAAAGACCCATAGTTGTTTACAGATAGTTTAGATACTGGATACTGATTCTTATGATGGTCAGTCTGTAGTCAGACTGTAGAAAGACCCAAACTCCGTTGTGCTGGGCACAGTGCAAGCATCAAGGATTTTCTTGTCCAGAACAGCTTTAAAACAGTGAGCTTAGGAATACTGATCTCATGTGAAAATTACTTGCTTATGGCTGTATGTAAAAACTCTTTGAACTATAGCATTTTTACTAGAACTGCTCAAGGGAAGACTCGTGGTACAATTAATAGTCCATATAGGATGATTCTGTAGAGACGGATGTTTTGGAGCAACAGGCTTTTACCAGTTGCATGTAACACTTTCTTCCAGAGAAATGGACACATGAATATGCTTTAAAGAGATTAATGGATGTTATAAAAGTTATGTGTTGCTGCACTTTAAACTAAAGACTCCACAACCTCCACTTGGAATCCTGATCGCATACAGCAGCTTACTCTTTTGATGTACAGAATAGATGTAGGACTTTATGGATTTCTTCATGGTGTTATGGGAACTGAACATTTTACAAAAGGCAGTGGGACTACAAGGCTTTTCTGATAGCTGTTAGATTGAACAGGTGGACTGTGTCTATCTTCCATAGTTGGTTGCTTTTGGGGATGGGAGTGAAGCAGGCTTTGGGATTCTTGTGATTGGATTAAGAACACTTTGGCAATATTTTCAGCCTTAAGAAGTGTTCTAGGATTACTCTTTCTTTAGCCCATCTGTCTGCAGTGTACTTTTTCTATTCCATAGAAAACAACTCAGCTGTCTCTTCAGCACAGTCCTTGCTGGTCAATGACCGCATGTGTTTGATTGTAGTAAGTTTCTGCCTGTTTCCTTATTATTTATCAGTAGACATCAGAATTTATAAGGTGTCTAGAAAACTGGCTGTATTTCGATAGTTTGCATAAGGAGTATTGCAGCAGTATCTCTGCCCTCTTCAGTATTATATACGATAATGCAACTTTTCCTTCTGAGCGCTCTCCTGGGCTTGTCCAGCCAGCCCCGAGTAGGGGAGAAAGGATGTCACCAGACAGTTACTACAGGGGTGGCTGTCAGCCAAAGTGCGAGACCTTGTGGGAGGAGTGGGGCTGGAGGAAATGCCCAAGCTGCACATGAAGCCCAGGTGTGAACATTTTTGGGGGGAGGACGCACAGACAAGGGGGTCCTCCCTGGCCATCTCCTTGTGGCCACAGTGGAGGGGCGCCTAACCATGGCTCGCACGGGAGGGACCCAAAACCGGCGGAGGGAGCGGGCTGTGCTGGACATCCTGCCTACGGGCTTTGCGAAGAGGCGCAGCCCGCGGCCCCGCCATGCTCGTAGGAACAACAATGTCGGGGCCGGGCTCTCCGCAAGGTCATTCCCCGTGCCGTCACCCTCCCGGCAGGACAGCTCCGACCCGCCGTCGGGTTGGTCATACCGCCCACATCTTACCGCGGCGGCGGCCGTCCCGCGAGGCGCGCAGCCCGCGCCGCGATGGCAGCGCCCGCACCGCCGGCGAAGGAGCGGCGCTCCCGGCGGCCGGAGCGCGGCGGGCGCGTCCCGGGGCGGCCCCGGCCCGGCCGCCTTTGTTCGGCGGGGCGCGCACGTGCAGCGGCCGGCAGCCCCGCGCGGTGGCGGCGGGCTGGTGCGGGGCGGCGGGCGGCGGGCCCGGCCTGGCCCTTTAAAGCCGCGGCGGCGGCGCGGCCGGGCCGGTGCGGGACACGTGAGGCGGCGGCGCGCTCTGCCGCCGCTGCCCCGGCTGCCGTGCTGCTCGTGTTTTATCTGGCCGACCGCCAGCCCCCCATCGCCGCGTTTTCGCTCTGCCTCCTCCTCTCTCTCTCTCTCTTTTTTTTTTTTTTCCTCCCCTACAGCCCCCTCCTGGTTTTTCCACCCACGGGTAAAGGTGGCTTTTTCTTTTCTTTTCTTTTCTTTTCATTCGTTTTTGTTGTTGGTTTTGGGTTTTTTTCCCTCCCTTAACCCTCATCCTAGTTTAGTCCGTGGGCAGGACTCGCATAATAATATTTCCAGTCCCAGGAGCTCGCATCACAGACACGAACCCAGGACCGCCCCCCCCTTTTTTTTCCCTCTCAATCTCCCAAATCGTTTTATTATTATTATTTTTAAATGATCGCTCCTTTTGCGCGCTGCTCCCGCTGCTGCCGAAATCCCCGTCTTCCCAGGGTGCATGCTTCTGGCAAGATTGTGCAGTGTTCTCAGTCCATTTTCAGTGTGTCTTATCTTAATTTGTCCTGATCCGATCTAAGCGCGATAGCCACCACTTGCTTTCAATTTGTAGGGCTTTTTTCCCCTCTTCTTGGTTTGCTCCCGACTACCCTCGGACTATTTCCCTCTCTCCTTGCATTTCCAGGGCTGCAATTTAGTCTGCCTTTCCTCTTTTTTTTTTTTTAACCTCTCCTCTTTTGAATTGCTTCATGTTACTAACCATTCCTAAATTGTAAGAGAGATTCATTCCCCCTCCTCTTCCACCACCACCAACACCACTACCACCATCACCTCCTCCTCCTCCTCCTCCCCTTCTCTTCTCCTTTTTGGCAGCACCAGGACGTCCGGTGTGGTGGTGGCAGCGAGCAGCAAAAGCAGCAAGAGCTCGTTTTGATTCCCCCCCTTCAAGGTGCTTTGGAGAGACTGGTTTCAGGCTGAGCAGCAGAAGTCACGATGAGTGCACAAGGTGAGGGACCCGGTCAGCCTTCCACTGCTGCCCAGGAGCAACCTGCAACCGCAGAGCCTCAGAAGAGAGGACGAGGCAGACCCAGGAAACAACCACAAGTCAGTATCGTGTAGATACGTAGAGCCGCAGATGTATAGTGTTATAGGCATGTACATGTACGTATTGTGCTGCAAGGAGTCCTGGCGACGGGGCGGGGGGGCTTTGTTGTGCGCTGCTCCCGGCGAGGCGGTGCAGACGCGTAGCGAGGGGCTCCGGCGGGCGCCCTGGCGGGGGGACCCCCGAGCCCGGAGCGACCGGGCGCTGCCTGCCCGTGGCTGAACCGCGGAGCCTCCTCGGGACTTTCACTATTGTGCAGGGAGCGAGCTGGGGCTTTTCAATGTAAATGGGGAACATGGAGCAGCGCGGGCTCCGACCAACCAGCGCTCGCTGGGTCATTTCGAGCTGATTTTGAAATTGCGAAAGCGAGGAGCAGGGATCGGGGCTCTCCTGTCTCCCTCCTCTCTGAGCCCTCGCTATATCTCAATCTGTGTGCGCGCCTGTGTGTGCATGTGTCGGGTCCCACCGGGCGCTGCTGCCGCCTCCGATCTTGACCAGCCCAGCCCCTGAACTGCCCCTAGATGCTGGGGCTGGGGGAGAGGACGGTGACTAGAGAGTCGCATAGGCTTTTTTTTCCGTCTTTTTCCTCCCCCCCCCACCCCCGGATTCCCCCCCTTCCCCACCTCCCCCCCTCGCCCCCCTCATCGTATGGAGAGAGGTGCCCCCGTTGCCGATGGAGGTGGGGGAGGTAGCCGGAGGGGGCTTGCCCTGTGTTTGCAACACCTTTTGCCTTTGCTCCGGCGCTTTCCCAAGGCAGGTCGAGGCGACGGGAACGCTGCCGTGTCTGCACGCGGGGAGCGTAGCCCGGTGCTCCTTTCCACCCACATCCACAGCCTCCACCTGGGCCCCGACACGAACGCGCTGGGCTCCCCTTTTTGACTCGCAAGATACGAATTCGCGCTAAGGTCGCTAGATCCGTGTGTTACTCCCACCCCCACCCCCATCCCTTCCTTTCCCGAAGTGCCATTGTCGCATCGCCCGGAGCTGCCCAGCCGCGCTCAGCCCCTGCCGCCGGGCGAGGGGCCCGGGGGAGCCCCCGCGCTCTGCAGCCCCTCCGCCGGCGCCGCCGAAGGAGGATTTTGCCTGCGGATGCAACCAATTAATCCCGCAGCTCGGCGGGGGCAGCGCGGAGCCGCCCGCAGCCTTTTCCCTGCCTCCCTCGGAAGTCACGATTGAGAAGCAGGGCTGTCCGTGGAGCTCATTTTAAAGCGAGCGTCCGCGGGCTTTAAACGTGTTTACTTCCCATTCATTTGGCATCAGCCCCACTGCCACGAGAGCCTTCGAGGGGCTGGAAACGCCGAGAGCGCTGAGCAGCAGAGCCCCGAGTCGGGGGAAACCCGGCTGCTTTGCTTCCTTCCCCTCCCCCGCCCCGATATGGTCCTGTAAATTTCACAGAAAGTACTTTTTTTGGGAGACCATAAAAGCAGAGCCCCCCGTTACCTCGCTCTGCCCCTGGTGACACTCACTCCCATCGGTCCGGTGACTGCGGGCTCTGTACCCCTTCTGCTTCACCCCCTGATTGCCCTCGACCAGCCCCGGCAGCCAGCACCCACCGACCCTGCTGGCTTGTGCCCGAGCTTTTTCTTTTTTCTTTTTTCTTTTTCTTTTTCTTTTTCTAATCTTTTTATTTTCTTTTTCTATTTTCTTTTTCTATATTCTATTTTCTTTTTTTTTTCCCTAATTTTTTTTTCCTCCTGTAGCATTTAAATGTGTGGAAATGAAAGAAAAACGCGTCTCCCTCAACGTGCTCAGCCCAGATGTGCAGCGCCTGCGGGGCTCGCCACTGAGCTGCAGCACTTGGGGAGTCCCCTTGCCAGCCTCCCTTTAACCTACCCGGGAATTACGAAAGCTGAAGGGCTTTAAACTGGTTTAAGTTAACAAACTGCACTTAATTAGTTCTGCTGCATCCTGTAATATGAACGAAATGTATAATATTCAAGACTAGAAGAGTTTTATAGTGTTTATGATTCACTGAATAAATATTTGGAATCTGAATTCTTAGTAATTCATACCTAGTTTTAAGGACTGGTTATTTACTGGCAGGCAAAGGAACTAGTTAAGAAAATAGCTAAAATAGTCAGTGTCGACTCGTTTTCGAGTTGGGGTTTTGTTTCAAATTTTTCTTTGTCGAGTTTTTTTGGCTTGTAAGTATTTTATATGAAGAAACATTTAAATTTGCATGTTAATATGCATCAGTTTTCTTTAGAATAGGTGTGAATATAATGCCGACTGCAGAACAACAAAAACAAATTGCCCCCTTGAGAGAGTAGTCTCATCTTACTTTACAGTATTCTGGTAGTTAACTTTTCCCCCCAAAAAGCTTGTGCTAGAAACTACATGTGATAATTGTATCTTGCTATAATGCAATGCAATTGAAATTAAATGTGTAACTGTGTTATTTTTTAAATAACTGCTCTTATATGAGGGAAATCATAACCATCTTTAAAAAATGTGTTTCCTGCTATAACTTATGTGTTAGAATATTCACACTTTCCCAAGTTTTTCTATGTAATTGCAAGAGAAGTTAAACTCATTTATTGTGCAAAATATATTTTTTCCTTTACCTGGAGTTGCTAAATTGTTTATGTTGTATTATTAATGTTATGTTATTTAATAACACTGTTAATTCATGTGTTTTAAGCAACTTCTCGGTTTAGTTTATCCTTTAGAACATCTGGGTTAGTTGTAGCCTCTTTGCCACAATAGCATGTTTTCCTGTATTTAGGAACCAACTGGTGAACCATCTCCTAAAAGACCAAGAGGAAGACCCAAAGGAAGCAAAAACAAGAGTCCCTCTAAAGCAGCTCAGAAGGTGAGATTAATAAAGAGAAAAAATTAGTTATGCTGTTTTTTTTATCAACTGGTAGCAAAAAATCCAATAATTTAGGATGTGAAGTGTGGGATTGGAACTCTTTTGATAATGGAAGCTACATAAAGCATGAATTTCACATTTTTAAAATTAGAATTAACATCAAGACCCTAAGTACAGAAGTTATAAGGGCATCTTTTTTAGTAGTCTACAGATCAGTGAAATAACAATTTCATGAGGAACCATACGATGTCCTGTATCTAGTAAGGAAGTCAATGTTAAGGATATTATTTTCTTCATTAAGATTTTTGTAAGAGGAAGATTAATTTCTTGCCCACTTACAGTTGTTACTACTACAGACCAAATCTGTATATTAAAGCTAAGTGTTTTGTCAAACATAAGTTAATTAGGAGTAAATCCAATTATGTGTTGATGGAAATAAGTGCATATATTGAAATTTACAGCTTTAAAATGTGATGGTAAAGTAAACTTCCAGTTACAGTAAAAGCCTGTTATATCATGTTTAGTAATCAGTTTCAAAGAGACTTTTACTGGAAGTGCTTTTAGTCTTCTGAACCACTGTTTCTGCTTGGTGATGGGACCAAACTTTATTCTGGTGGTTCTGATTGCCTTCAGCTACAGGAGAAGCTCCCTGAAGTCATTGCATTTAGTGCATGGATTTTACATCACAAATACAACATGAAAATTTGTCTAAATTTTATTTTAACTGGGGAAAGCACCTCATTAAAAAGCTGTGTTATCAAGGCAAATCATGCTTACCCTTCTGTAGGAAATATTTTAGTGAAGGCAAATTGTTGTGTATGAGCTTGAAAACAAATATGGGAGATTTGTTTATGTTGTTGGTTCTACAGGAGTTAGCACTAGTTTACAGATACTAAATCACTAAAGCTTACAGAATCTGGGAGTGAACTGTAGTGCTAAAGTGTATCAGTATCTTTTAAGGAGGTGGGTGACAAAACGTGTGGAAGGTATTTGTGTCCTCATCTAATTATGGTTCATTTTTCAGTATGCCTATGGTACTGACCATATTAAGTTTGATAGTTTTCAGTGTTATAAATTACTATAGCAACTACTGATAAATATTAAATCATTAAAAGGTGACTATGGTTTCATGTCTGTTTTGTTTAAAGTGTTTTCAACATTTGTTTGAGGTACTTTTCCAACTGTCTTTAAATTCAAAATTTTAGTTGGTTTTATTTTTTTTTTCTTTATGGGCTGGAAAAAAAGCAGCATGTTCTGTCAAGAAATCCATGAATTAGTAAAAAATGCTTTACAGGTTTAGTATTAAAAATCTTTCAAAGCCATTCTGCAAGGTAATGTGCTTAAAATGTTGATTTTTTTTTCTTTATACATTAAAGTATAAACACAGTAAAAGCATTTCTCAGATTCATGTTAAAATAGTTTATACGTCACTCTTCAAAAGAGAGGGAGAAGTTTTTTATTAGTCTAGCAAATCCAAATGTGAACTTTAGTATTTTAAATATTACTCCTAGGAGTGTTGGCTTTCCTAGGAAAACATTTGTAGTAAGATAAAATTTTAAATGATTTGTAGAAATGTTTTTAAAAGATGCCTCTGAAAGGAGTATTGCCGTTATTTCATTTACATAAGTGATTTGGAAATGAGTATAAATAGAAAATAATTTAAAAACATTCATATATGTGTAGGTTTATCAAATCAAGAGTTTTCCAGATGATTCTGGTACAAAGTTATGCTTTCCCAGTCTAATTTACAAACTGAGTAATTTCATTGTAACATTCTGATTTTCAGAATGCATCAAGTTACTGCTCTAATTAAAGCTTTTGGGTGTTGCTAATGTAAAAAATTGACCAAAGACCACGTGTCTCTTTTTGTAATAGAAAAAAACCCTTTGAGGGGTATGTAATTACAGGTCTTACTGGTTTCTAGGTTTATAGATAAAGTATGTAAGTGTTTGATAAATCCTCTAAAACATAAAACACTTATAAAGCCTCACTAGAAGAATGAGACTGGTATCACATTTCAAATAAATATTTTAGCCCCTTTTCCAAATTGATAATTAGCCCTCTCTAAAATAGATCAGCTTTTCACCACGTATCTCAAAGTATCTTTTAATGCAATATTATTTCCAGTATTTTTTCTAACTGTAATATGGATGGGAATGTTTTGGCACTGCAAGAAAGCTTCATTTGGTGGTGAGGGTATCACCTCTAAAAGGAGTGAACTATATGTTCAGTTTTGTGGTACACATATTTACACATACATATGCATACATGCATTCATTAAGACTTGCTCCAGCCTGTCTCAACTCCCAGAAAGAGCACTGGGTATCTTAGCTTAAGCCTCTCTACATGTAAACCTGGGCACTATACACCCAGCTGGAATGGGCTGGAATTTCTAAAGAATAGTGCGTGCCCTGTGTGTTTCAAAGGGAGCTCATTGAAATGCTTCAGAGTGTTCACAACATGTTAGATAAACGGCAACCAGGAGAACCCACCGAGCAGCCATGAGAAGGCACTCATGATTAATTGATTGGGTGTTCTCTTGCAAAGCATTACACATTACAATTAAAAATGTATTGCACAAACTGGCAGTGAGTTAAAAATACTCCAGAACTGGGGCTTCGTTTTGTTATACGTCAAAAAGGAAATACCCTTAAATCACTTGATGGACAATTTTCCCTGGAATTGTGGTTGTGTTGTATATTTAAAATTTCTTGGTTCACAGGATTTAAAAAAAAATTTGGTTTGGTTTTTTGTGTTTTTTTTTTTAGCTTTAAGAGCTTGTGTTTGGTCTTAGTAAACTGGCCTTGGGGCATCTGAAAACAAACTGTGCTTGTTAGGAAATTAGCAATGTGAAACTTGACAATGCATACAAAATGTTGCAAAACTAACTGAACAGCTAATAATGTGGCAATTACTCTAATTTTGGGTAATATACTTTTTTTCTTCCTTAAAGCCTTGCATATCACACATGCCTAAGTTTTTATAAACTAGACACGAGAAATAAACTGTGTTTTATAGAAGGCCAAACCATTTCTCCATTGTTTAATTTTCACAAACAGGGGGAACACAATGTGTTACCAAATAGATAAGAAGAGGTAGAGACAAAAAACTCCTGATCACCTTGCACTTGAGTCCCCACAATTAGGTTGTTATTATGCAGTCTGCATCTTTAAACAAGTTATTCTGTCATTAATTTAATTTTTTTTTTTAAAAATAACAATATGTGAATTTGGTTTTGGGTTTTTTTCTCTGTAAAGCACAACTAATTTTTTCAGGAAGATCATAGTGGGGAATCTTCCTTTTTAATTTCCTGGGTGTTTTGTGGTTGAATTTTATTTGTTTGGTGAGCTCTGTTCTGAGCCCATCACATTTCCCTTCTAGGGCTTTTTTTCTTTTAGTTCCTATAGTTTGGCTTGACAAAAATACTGTGTAGGCATAAATACTTTCCTGTCTGGGAGCAGGAAACACATTTGTGACATTAGAAAAAAGAGTAGTAGCTATTATATGATTGTCGTTAAAGGAATTGTCAAGGGATGTCCCAGGAATATACAATGGTATAAATTCTTTAGTAAAATTTACCTTCTGCTAAAATATGTTGAGTTTTGTTGGAGTTATTGGTATAGTGAGATTCACTGAAAATGCCTACAGGGCTTGTTGCATCATTCTCTGAAAACTAAAGCTTGTGGTCCTGTGTGTGACTACACTTGCTATTGTCTCTACCTTACATGGCCAGGTTGGTATGTAGAAAGGCATGCCCCTGGGTTAAGCAGTCCAAAGGTAAAAGAAAAAAAAACAACAAACCAGAAAAGTGCATGTGATGAGGACTCTGCCCTGAATTGGGTCATGAAAATCTAGTTGGCTTCTCCATGCTTCATTCATTTTCATCAACACCAGTCATTACAAGCTTAAAGGGAAAACAAGATCAAATTTATCAAGTGATTGTTATTGCTCCGACAAAATAAGAGACCTCAAAATCAAATGTTTTGACCAAGATAGGAAAAGCAGAAGACTGATTTTTGTTTAGCATTAAAAAGGATAAAACAGGACATGGAAAGTGTGATGTTTTTGTACTTAGTCAATGCCTAAAGTTTTTTTAGGAGTATTTTTTGACTAAATAACTTGTGTGGTTTTTTTGAGAGGGATACATTCCTGGGCTAGGTCTTTTGACTCTGTTTGGCAACAGTGATCTTCCTCCTGAGAGCTATCACTTATTTTACCTGACTTACAGCTCTGACACACTTTATCTGAGATCTCCAGCAGATCATTTTGCAAAGTAGATAGAGTTCTTCAAATATGGATTCTGTTGCATTTGAGGTCTTCCTTGACAATGCATGGATGCCCAAAGAGCACTTTATAGCCATTCAATTATTTATATTTGTCTTGTCTTGTTCATTGCTTTCAGTAGTACAGCCTTGCTTTCTGGCTGGGTACAGCACATTTTTGTAATAAGGAGGCAGAGATCATGGGCAGTCAAGTCCTAGAGTTGCTGAGAGTAGCTGTTTGGAAGCAGGGTTTCATGGCCCCGTGGTACAGGGCTTAAGTGGATTGCACAGCTTCCTGGGGACTGTTAGCTCACTTCCAGATAGCAGTGACTGAATTATGATCTTTCTCACCTGTGATAAATAAAAACCACTTCCCATATAGATCATGCTTTTAAATGTGAGAAAGTGTAGTTCTGTTCCTCAAATGTGACATTGCAAAAATGGTGTGTTCATATTATTGTTTATAAGAAATTTCCTATTTTTAATGAAATACATTTTGTGTTTGATAACATACCTGACCCTTGTTTAAGCTTTGGTGATTTCATGTTTTAGCTGTAAAAAGCAAGGTCGTGCCTCATAGCATAGTAGCACCAAATGTTAAAAACCCCCTGACGAAACACCACCTCTGCGTGGCCTGGAGCTCTGTCAGGATTTGCCCCTAGCTTCAGAGGCAACGCTTCAATTAAAGCCAAGAGCCAACAGACTGGAGTGTTTCTGATGGTGCAAAAATCTGTTCAAGGGGAAAGGGAATGTATTAGTGCTTTCATGGAGAAGCAATGGATTACCTAGCTTATACACAGTAAAACATTTCTTCAAGGCTTCTGTTAAAAGAAAGTCTAATGCTATTGGAGAAAATACAGCACTTAACTAAAATACAGTATTTTAGCAAAATGCAGGCTGAAAAAAGAGGGAAGGAGGTGGAATATTTTTCTGAACTTCATGTATTTATCATTACCACTGTGCTGCTACTGCTCCTTTCATTTACTCTCAAACTGTTTTGTCTTGCTCTTCTCTTGAAAAGGAGATTAAAACTTCCACTTTGGAGGTTCTTGTCATTCATTTTCTGCAGTTTAATCTGTGAAAACCTTGCTATTTACTTACAGAATCTCTCTGTACCAAAACATCACCTTTGGCATGCCTGGCTGTTTGCTCAGCTCACCTCTGGGAAAGATTTGGTTTTGATAAGAGCTATGGAAATGTTTTTCTTCTAACATGAGGTGGAAGTAAAATACTGCAGGAATATAGTGCCTTTCAATCTGCACAGTCCCCAAGCACTTGACAAACCATTACCCAAACTAGCCAGCAGGAACACTGGCCACTTCTGATGTGGACCTTTGGTGGTGGTAGAGCTCAGCACTGCTGAGCTGCATGGGAAGCGGCCACCCTGTGTGACAGTTTATGGCAGGAAGCAAAGATTAATTATTCAAAGAAATCTCTCATGTTCATTATAATTTGAAGCTAAAATTCGTGTCAGGTTTGTAGGGACTTTAATTATTAGACCAAAGTAGTTTTGTACTCAAAAAGTTAATTATTTTTTTAATAGAGTTTTGGAAAAGGATCTTTCCTTCAGATGCAGTAATACACACAAGAAAATAAATAGCCTTAGTGCTCTGATAACATGTCAAGTGTTGATTTGTTAAGACCAATTATAACTGATATTTCTTTTTAAGATTTATGCCCTGTGTTTCATGCAGTAAACGTAGAAGCAGGGAGCTGCAGGTTATCAACACTAAACCATATCTGGTTTTTTGCATCCTTCAGGTTACAAGGTATAAAGAAATTGACCGCTTAAAGGAAACAAAACTCTGAAATAGACAGCTACAGGATATAGTAAATGCACTTTAACAAGTATTCTCTTAAGAGGGTTTCACCTTACATGTAACACCGGTATAAACTATTAAAGCTCAAGTTTACTCTTTTAACAAGTCTGAGTGATAATTTTGCCCTTCAGGAGTGTGAATTTTATTTTTCACAGCTTTCTTATTGTGAGGTATTTATTTCAAAGTAATTGCGTTTAACTCACAGGGCAGGTTTTTTTGTAGAGATTCCTCCATTAGTTCCTCAGTTCAAGTTCTCTTTTAGAGAGATCCGATTTGCACAGCATTGGGTTACAGTGTATGTTACAGTGATTGACCAGCAAGTGATTTATTTAATGGCACAGTTAATTTCTAAGGGCAAATCAAATATACATACAGTTAACCGGAGGGAAAAAACCAAAGGAACACAATTCACGTATACTGAAAGTCTTCTTTCTTGGAGACCTTGTATCTGGCAAGTTCTGCCCTGACTACAGGTGGTGACAAAATCTTGAGTGGAACAGGATGATTTACCTGGTGGAGTGTATGGATGAACATAGCCTAGCTAGAGAGAATAACCGGGAATTTTCATTTTAAACTCTGTAAATTTTTTAGTGTACTACTAAGTACTGTTATTAGTGGTAGTATTCACAATGTCACTCAGTGGAATTAGTGGAAGAGCTTATAAAAGGACCCATATTTCCTTTAAGCTGAGCTCCAGGAGCAACTGCTGGGCTTACATAAATACAGCGGTCACTTCTAGGGCCTCTTCCACTTTGTTCCCTTAAACCTGGACAGGGAAGGTGTGTTTTGGGCCATGGAAGGTTTACTTATAGCCTAAAGGTGTGCTTTTACCTGGAAAACTTCATGTGAAAAGTAGAAACATTGTTTCCCAATAAGAACATAGACATGTTCATGGTGATATTTTGTCCTGATTACTTTCATGCATGAACATAATGAGACTAAAAAATGTATTGTAGCTGCTGTAAACTGCTTTGATCAAACTTGAAACAGGCTGTATTTTTAATTTAGTATCTTCAAGTACTTTTTGATGGCATATGAAAGACTAGATTTGATGTTCTTGGAGGTTCCCATGTTTCCCAATTGCCCTGTGTCCCCACCATCAGCATGCATGTTGGGTGACTGGCCAGGGCACCTTGGCTCTGCAGAGGGCCCTGAGCAGCCGGGGCTGTGTGGGCACACTCCTCCATGGCCCTGCCTGACACAGTGTGGCTCTGCAGAGGGCCCTGGGCAGCTGGGGCTGTGTGGGCACACTCCTCCATGGCCCTGACACAGCCCCAGCTCTGCAGAGGGCCCTGAGCAGCCGGGGCTGTGTGGGCACACTCCTCCATGGCCCTGCCTGACACAGTGTGGCTCTGCAGAGGGCCCTGGGCAGCTGGGGCTGTGTGGGCACACTCCTCCATGGCCCTGCCTGACACAGTGTGGCTCTGCAGAGGGCCCTGGGCAGCTGGGGCTGTGTGGGCACACTTGCACACTCTTCCATGGCCCTGACACAGCCCCAGCTCTGCAGAGGGCCCTGGGCAGCCGGGGCTGTGTGGGCACACTCCTCCATGGCCCTGCCTGACACAGTGTGGCTCTGCAGAGGGCCCTGGGCAGCTGGGGCTGTGTGGGCACACTTGCACACTCCTCCATGGCCCTGACACAGCCCCAGCTCTGCAGAGGGCCCTGGGCAGCCGGGGCTGTGTGGGCACACTCCTCCATGGCCCTGCCTGACACAGTGTGGCTCTGCAGAGGGCCCTGGGCAGCTGGGGCTGTGTGGGCGCACCTCTCCATGGCCCTGACACAGTGTGGATCAGGGCTGGGGACACACTTGGGTGCAGGTGAGGCGCTGCCTAGGAAATGTCAGAGAAAAGGAGCATAGTCACACATTCTGCCAGAAAACACACGGCTTAGCTGGGGGGCCTGGTGCCACCCAAGAGATATGGTTGTAGCTAATGTTACAGGAAAGGAGTTCCTAGTTACTGAGGCTGTTAAGTAATGCTGAGGTATAAAATATGTTGTGTTTCTTTTACAGAAAGCAGAAGCCACTGGTGAAAAGCGACCTAGAGGCCGGCCCAGAAAATGGGTAGGTATTTCACTTCCAGATTTATTTGCTGTGTTATAAAGCATGTTATAAATGTAAAGCACGTTATAAAGTCCGTTCCTTTAGAGAACAGTAATTTCATTTGTAAGAAAAGCATCTATCTTCTGTGTCTCTTTGTTCTGGTGGATTGACTAAAGGGTTAAGAGAGCAAAGAAGTTGATCACCGCTTCCTACCTTTAGACTCTGGTAGTTTGCTCAAGACACTTTACAATTGAATGTTTGCTTCCAGTGAATATTTATGCCTATCTTATCAGCATGAAAAGAGGCTCAACTCTTCCTTCAAAAGAGAGTAACAATGAGATAACTTGTTCAGTAATTGAGTAACAAAGGTTATAAAGGGGCACTATGGGACATCAGAGGGGTGATAAGACTCAGATGTAGGGTACAGGAGATAAAGTTTGAAAACCAAAATGCTTTTGTTCTACATTGCCTGAAAACATGAATATTTTCCTTAAATCCAGTGAGAAAGAGCACAGATGAACCGCAGGATACTTGTGCGTAGAACTTAGTTTTCCCACTCATAGTCATTTTCATGCCTCATATATTTGTAGTGACTGGTAATATATTTCATTAAAAGTTTCCACCTTTCCTGACCCCATTTAGTCTTTAGAAGTGTCTATCAGAAGTGTGTTTTTATTCTTTGGCAATGGAAGTATTTAATTCTTAGGTACTTGAAATTTTGTATCCTCACTGATGTTTACAGCTAATGAGCCTGGTGCACCTCTCCTCTGCATGTTTTTCACTTGTGTATGGGCTTTCCCATGGGGTGTCACTTGGAAAATGGGATTGAATATTAGATGATAAAAAGGTGTGGCTGTGTGCTTCATCACAAGTTAACATTTCTGATCTCCTTTTTCCAGTTTCCTTTCCCTGCTCAACATTTTTCTTTAAACTTCCATTTCAAATCCACCCCCACCATCTCAATTTCAAACCCTAGTTTCACTCTGTATTCTCTTTCCTCTTGTCAGTCCCGTCATTTCCCCCTCCATTTTGTTCAGTTCTTTATGCTTGCAAAATCTCAAACAGCACAAGAAGGTACTGAAAACTACAGCTAAGGTTCCCCAGAGTATTAGCCACTAAACACAGGAAAGCTGGCTTTAGCAGTCTCTTTAAGAACTAGTTCTATTGCATTTTCCAGTGAATGTTCCACAAGATATTTCTTTGGAGAAAACAGACCACTGCATACTAGATGAGTGGTTTATACATGTAGTTTTTAGGTCAGGCACTTTTCAGGTACATGAGGAAGCTTACTGGCATTGAAAAAGTGACTTATGGAATGTATCTATGCTGGTGATCTCATAAGCAGCTTGGGGAAGGCAAATGCCAGATGCAGTAAAACGTGGGTCAGTTTCTCTCTGCTTCCTCCCATCTGGCTTGAACCTTGCATATCTGGATGCTGAGTGTTGCTTGCTTGATCCTCACCTTGGGTGCAATCCCTGGGAAACAGCAAAAATACTTGGTTTATGAGAGTAATTAATTTATAATAGTCAAGCCATCCCCTCTGAGTTAGCAATGTGTGACAGGTGAATAGTTGAAGAGTTTGGGGAAAAGGCATAAACCTGACACACTAAAAACGTTTTCTCTTCCAAGTACTCATTGTCAGAAACTAAGGTGAGTTTTCAGTAAAAAAGGGCTAATACAGCACCTTTGACAGCTTGTAGAATGTTTCCCTTCTGTGTTTGTGTTTTTATGGGGAAGAAAGAATAGGCAGTATCAGTGGAGCATTCAGTATGGAATGGGCTATTTGTCAAGTCAAGAATCTGATTTTCAGAAGTGGGAATAACTGAAATGAGTTGTATGCATTACTTTATTATGAGACCAATACTTTCAAGACTCACTCTTTTTAAAAAAAAAATTAATGCATATTTTGCAACTCAGTATTACTTTGCTGTTGCACCTATTGAAAGCATAGTCTTTTTTACTTTGTCATTCTGATGGTATGATTGCTTCTTGTAATTTGTAGAGATAATTCTCCAAATCTGCAGCTTGCATTGAGATAATGGCATGTTTGATTCTCATGGTCTGAAGAGTTTGTCCCCCTTCTCTTTTTTCTCTCCAGTTTCAATTGAGTTCATGGGCTCCTTCTAGCTTGTAGTTGAACTCAGGGGAGGAGTCTGCCTGAAAGCAGATGGTACAGCATCATCCTTTTTGTTTAGACCTCCAACATGTAGTCAGAAAATGTCCCGTTTTATCACACATATTTCAGTTTAATCCTTAATGATTATATATTTCCTTAATCCAATTTATTTATATGTCAGGCCTTACTGATGATGGTTTAGTATCTGTGCAAGTAAGGAGCGTGTAGGGTTTTTTTGTTGGAGAGGGCAGAATTCTACATTTTCATAAGTTTATAACCCTTTTTTTGGGAGCCTATAAGTTCTGTGTCATATGTTGTTCATCAAATTGTAAAATATTATTTCTGCTGTTTCCTTCAATATGCACATGCAGAGACATACAAGCTAACAGACCACTGTAGAATTCCGGTAGCTGGTCTTTCTGCTGGTTCAAATTAAGTATTTAATGTTTGTGATTCACAGTGTATTTATTTATATATTATTTTTTAGAAGAGAAGTAAATCTTTTTTGACTAGTATAAAACTGAGAGGGGGAGGAAGAACCCAAGTGAAGAGGGTAAAAAGCCCAGTTTATCACAAACATGTGAGACATCAGATGATCTTTTTAATGCAATAATGTGTACTTTACAAAGCTGTCAAGGGACAGAAGACCCTATAGAATAGACAGTCAAGATGAAACAAAATCTTCTGAAAATAAAATATTCAGCTACATAGAAAAGCTTTCTAAATGTTGAGGGCTAATTGAATAAAAGTCCTGAAAATAACAAGGTCAAGCAGGTGGGAAATGAGCATAGTTGAAATCAGAAACACAGTGCTTGCTGCTGTAAAACTCACCTTCACTGGAGGTTGCTGCACCCATGTGAACACATTGAAGGCTGTGAGTCTATTACCTATTAACCCTCTTCATGGGGGCCTCAGTACTCCTTAATTTTAGAGGTTTTATTTCACAGACATATTCTAAGCTCCTTGGATGCATCTGCATTAGTGTGTTAGGTCAAATCAGGAGTATGCTTCGGAAATGCAGCTCCTGATTTTCCCCACTTACTGTATGTATTGTGTAGTGGTCCCAGAGATCATTGGTAGGACTCCTTTCAAATGGAACCAAATTGGAAGATGTGCTGTAGAAGTACAGTCTGTTAGACATTCAAGCCACAGGACTAGGCTAGAGTGAAACAAAACCTCTTGAAAGGTGTGTGGTTTGGACCTTAGGTCCTCAGCACCATCCTGTGGTCCATATTGTAGACATAGCCTTTGATGCTTAAAAAAAAGCCTATGAAGCAACCTGGTTTTTATTTGCAGAATTATTTTATGTAGCACAGGCATAAAGTCAAATTCACATTCGCAGGAGTCAGTGAAAGGTTTGTCATTAACTTCATCAGGGGCACGTGTTTGCCATTGAAGCCTGGTGCTGCTGCTCATGGACTCAGAGACTGTTTTGCTCATGGTAGTCCTTTGTAAAGATCAAAGGTTTTTTATTTTATTAATTTCATTTGTGTATGCCTATAATTTGACTGAAAGGAAGGGACTGAAGGTATATGAGTAGAGCAGAGGACTAAGTAATCAATTGTTTTGCTGTTTGTTCCAAAGAGCTGCATTGGAAGGCCCTGGAAATTCCATAGTCTTCTAGTGCTCTCAGGCATCAGTTTAATGGAGGAATCTGAAATCCAGTTTGGAAGTTGATGCAGAAAAGGGTATTAATTTTTAATTTCCATTGTTTCTGTTGAGTCTTTAGGTAGAGTTTTTTTTGCATTTCCAAATTGTTTGACTTGAACCATAGACACTCTGCATAGAATGGCAGAATTGTTCCAGGGGAACAGTCCAGAGCTTTTTACAGCCTTGAGCAGGACTTTGGTGAGGAGAAGAGATGGCTGATTCCATGCCATGTAGTTGTTCTAAAAGATGGATAGATGCAATTCTAGAATTTGTGTGATTGTAACAGCAGAAGATGGTTGGTGACCTTCTGAGCAGGGACATGTGGGATGCATGTGAAGCATCTGCTTGTGTGTCTCATCACTGAAGCCTAAGTAAGAACTGTGACTTGTTCAGAAAACTTCCAACAATTTTGTTTGCTTCTAGACAGTATAGAGCGCATATTTCAGTTTGGTAGGAAATAAGAGATTGTAAGAAATTAATTTCCTTAAGCAGATTTTTAATCTGATCCTAGTCATGATCATCTAGACAAGCTGAGAGAGAAGGGGCTGTTCAGCCTGGGGAAGGCTTCAGACAGACCATAGAGCAGCCTCCCAGTAAGCAGAGAGAGCCACAAGAAAAATGGAGATGGACTTCTTACAAGGACCTGTAGTGACAGGGCAAGGGGAAATGGCTTTAAACTGGAAGAGAGTGGTTCAGGTTAGATATTAAGAGGAAATTGCTTACTGTGAGGGTGGTGAGACACTGGAACAATTGTTCAGAGAAATTGTGAATGTCCCACCCCTGGGAGTGCTCAAGGCCAAGGTAGATGAGGCTTTGAGCAACCTGGTCTAGTGAAAGGTGTGTTAGCTTATGGCAGGGTGTTGGAACTACGTGATCTTTCAGTTCCCTTCCAACCCAAACCATTTGATTATTATATGATTGATGATTATAGTACTTTTTAAAATAAGGGCAGAGTTTCATTTTATACAGAATGCCAATTTAAGCAGTGCCAAACCACATTTAAAAAAAATTACAAAAATGCTTTTTTATAGTAAATTTTTCTTCCGATTATTTCCAGTTCAATTCCGACATAGCTGAGATACAAAATCTTGAACATGGAATTGGTGAGATTTTTCTATGCCAGCAGTTCCTGTGTCAGGGCAAGAATTTTTAGTGCTCATTAAGATTTTGAAAATGAGGTTCTTAATTTTGAAGAAATACATACCAAAAAAAATCCCATTGCCTCAGAGGACCTATCAATGTTTTGAGGCTATTT